CTTCTCCTCGGCGTCGAGTTCCTTGTCCACCTCCATGGACTTAAACGTCAGCAACATGGACAACATCAATTTGTCCTCGCGCCGGAAGCGAGAATAGGAGGAGCAACAGAGCGTGCCAAGAGCCAGGCTCCCCCGTCCCCTCTCCTCCACATCCCCTCGCCGTTCAGTCTACCCTCAGCCTCAAAGCAAACTCGACCGCACTCACCCTTGCCCTCCTTCCTCCCCCTCCTCCGCCTCCCCCGCCTGCTCATCCTTTTCCTCCGTCTCCCTCTTCGCCCCGACCATGCGCACGCGCGGGGAGTTGTGTATTGTCCACGACACACGACATACGCAACCCCCCAGTGATTTGGATATCCAACTGGTCGCAGTTACGGATGCATGTCAGTGTCCACTCCAAGAAACGAAGAAACGATTTATCGATTGTGGGTGATACAGAACTCCCTATGCGCGCGCGTAGGTAGTTCTGCATTTCCCATAACAAAACACCTACACCAAAGACCATGCCGCATTGGAAACCCACTCGGTCACCGCTACGGGTCAATTTTAATTTCCTCGCCCGAGTGGCGACTCTGCGATTGCGGACAATTCACAACCACCCACGCGCGCGCGTAGGGAGAGTTCTGTGTTGACTGTGCCCGAAGACACACACGGCCCCCCATGCAAACTTTGAAATCCAATCGGTCACCGTTGAACCTAACTTGCGTCTCCGGGCCACCATGATAGCTTGACCAAAGCTGACAATTCAAAACTCACCAAACGCACGCGCGATTGGGAGGTTCCGTATGGCACGCGCGCGCGTGGGAAGTTATGTATTTTCAAGGATAACTCAATGTTATGTTGGAAACCACTTCGGTCACCATGACGGGTTGACTGTAGCAACGCAGCTATCGTGGAAAACATATGATTTTCCATACGCGCGCGCGGAGGGAGTTCTGTAGGATCCACGACACAATACATGAACAAAAGCCCGCTTGAGTTGAATATCTAGCCCGTCGCAATTGCCAGTTAACGTTTTTGCACTCCACAATGGCGGCTGGCCGATTGTGAAAACAAATCCTACGCGCGCGCGTAGGGCATTATGTATTGCCCACGATGGAACATCCACCCCACAAACCTATTCACCCTGGAACTCATATGGTCACCACGATGGGTTCATTTTGACTACCAAGGTGGCTCGGTGACGTCCTGATTGTGGTCAATTCAGATATCCCACGCGCGCGTACCTAGAGCGTTCTGCATGGTCCGTCATAAACTAGTCCGACGGTAGGACCCCACATGCGAATCGATGTAGACTGCCCTTCGCTATTCCCTCTTCGCCCTGGCCGAAACCCGCCATTTCGCCCTCTGTTGCGCCTCCTCCTCATCATCCTTGTTTTTGTTCGTCTTCCGTCTCCTCTTCCAGCTCGCCCTCCTTGTTGAATTTCTCCTCTTCCTATTCCTCCACTTCCTCTTTCTCCCCCCCCGCATCTCCATCCCGCCCCTTCTCCTCATGCACCTTTTCTTCCTCCTGACAAGTGGGCGCGTGCCGATGTTCGTCGGTGCCCTCGCCGCCACGCTCGGCAGGGGCGCCCTCTCCGATAGCCAAAATCGCGAAGCCGTCGGGGCACCGACCGTAGGGACAACCCCGCGAACCGCAAGGGCACGAGAGCAAGCCGTTGGGACAACCCCGCAGGCGCCGAGTTAGTCGCGGCCGCGCTCAAGCGGGGGGCAGCACGAAATTCAACTCTGCCGCGACCTGCCCCGGCTCAGCCCTGGACTCCAGATTTAATGCAGAAGAGCCGAAATATGACGACTGCTACAAAGTTCTGATGACCTGCGGACCCCATAGAAAAAGGGGCTCCCGCCTAAGGCTTCCTCGCAAGTCACTCACAGACGAAATTTCCGCCTAAGACTTCTCCCAGAAGAGACAAAAAATTACGACAGATACAGGCTACAAGGATCCCGATGACCCGCCCGGATTGCCAATATGAAATGCGGACCCCATAGGGAAGGGGGCTCACGCCTGAAACTTCCTCTTCATTCAGTCATAGACCAATCCAGAGGAGCCGACAAGTGACGACAGTTACGAGATTACCATGACCCGCTCGGATTACCAACGTGATGCGCGGACCCCATAGGAAAGGGGCTCCCGCCTGAGCCTTCCTTGCAATTCGCTCGCACACGAAGCTCCCGCCTGTTCCTCCAGATTCAGTCCAGAGGAACCGAAAATCGACGACGGTTACACAATCCCGATGACCTCGGATAACCAGCATGAAATGCGGACCCCACGGGGAGGGGGCTCGCGCCTGAGACTTCCTCTTCATTCAGTCACAGACGAAGCTCCCGCCTGAGAATTCCTCCATACTCAGGCCGGACAAACCCCAAAGCTGACGACAGCCACAAGGATCCGATGACGCGCTCGGATTGCCAACATTGAATGCGGACCCCATCGGGAAGGGGCTCCCGCCTGAGATTTCCTCCATATTCAGGCCAGGAAACTCCAGAAGTCACGACAGATACAAAAATCCGATGACCTGCTCGGATGACCAACATGGAATACGGATCCCATAGAGAGGGAGACGTCTTCACAACTCACTAACAGACCCAACTCCCGCTCGAGATTTCCTCCATACTCAAAGCAGGAAAGCCCAAAAGTGAACACGGTTACAGGAATCCGATGACCCGCTCGGATTACCAACGTGGAATGCGGACCCCATCGGGAGGGGGCTCCCGCTCGAGAAGCCCTCGCAATTCACTCACAGACGAGGCCTCTTTGGTCGATCATCAGCATGGGATGGTGGTAGTGATGACGATGATGGTGTGCGCGGTAATGATGACGGCGATGATGATAATGCCAGATGATCATGATGGGACCATGACATGGTGATGAATGAAAAGGGAAAACGTGAATGAGTGCGGAAGTAGAGGATGATGGTGATGATGACGGTGATGATGGCGATGATGATGGTGATGATGACGGTGATGAAATGAAATGATGGCATGATGAATGATGACGATGCTGATGGTGTGTGTGAGGAGGAGCGGTGAGGAGGAAGAGGCCGACTCGGGGTGTCCAGAGAAAGCAAGAACCCCATTAGGATGTGGGGAACAACGCCAGAACCCACAATAGTTTGGATATGCAACCGATCAGCGAGAAGGGCTCATTCTGTTTTTCATGCCAAAAACTGCTACTTTTCGATTGCGGATAATCCAGAAGCGCTTGGCCAACCATGATCAACGAGCAACGCTGGCGAGACCTGCCGCCTCACGCCAGACACTGCGGCTTTCTGTAAAGGGTCTCCCAACCCCATTATCTCCAGGCCGCCCTCACCGAGGACGGACTCCCGCGGCCCGCCCCGCGGCCGACGCCAAAAAGGGCCCTGGCGGAGATCCCTGCGAGGAATTCGCCGACGAGAGCGGAGCCAGACGGGTCTACGCTGCCACAGACGGAACCTGCCCCAACCAAGCCCGCCCGCTTCTCGCTTGGGCTGGTTTCGGTGCGTACTACGGTCTCGACCATCGGCCCAACCACTCTGCGCGGGCACTCGGTCTCACTCGGTCCGCTCAGACAAAAAACACGGCATTGACCATGTTTCAGCTCGTCGCCACGGCTGAACGGCCCGCTCGCATCTTCGTTGGCAACCGAAGTCTCGTCGACGGAATCGAAAAACTCCTCGCTGGTAAACGATCGCCTCGCGTTGGTGCTCAGGCTGACCTGTGGCTTGAGATCCACCAAGTCCTTCAGGCCAGGCCGGACATGAACAAAACCAAGAAAGTCGAAAGCCACCTGGGCAAGCAAGGTATATCAATGGCACCAATGGGAGGAGTACCGCGCCAATCGCAAAAGGTTTTTGTCGACACGCCGACAATATCGCCACTGCCGGCGCACGCCTCCACGGCCAAACACAAGGCCTCACCGAAACAGCCACGTGGTGACGCTAATTCGCAGCCGTCTTACGCAGCACGGCTGTCGGCATTTACGACCGACGTAACCAGACGCTTCCTTTGCATGACAGAAGCACGGGCTATTCTAGGGCAGAGCTCAGCAAATGAAACCCACCCCTCTCACCACCGGCCAAGGCGGGCACGAGCAAGCAGGCTCACCAGGCGGCCCGACCATTCCGACGGCCGACCAGGCCCCGACTACTTCGATGATCCTTGGTCGGGCCTGCTCGACGACCTCGATGGAAAAGATCGACCTGGTCGGGCCGCCTCCATGGGTGATGACGTAGGTCCCTCGTCTCCCTTCCCACAAGATCATATGAGAGACGACCACAGCGACCAAGACGACCTTCACGACGCGAGCCAATGTATCGGCTACACGCAAGAGTGACCCTGGGTAAGAGTGACCTTTGGTGCGCGGCTTCTTGGGGGCCGGGGGGAGACCAAACCTGGGCGCGCAAGCCGCTGCTACCGCTTCGTTTTCAGCCATCTGGGGGCCCATCTGTTCCCGCACCAAAGGTCACTCCGGCGAAAGGTCACTCTTCCGTCTCGTCGACCACGGTCCACAAAATCAGGCCACCGTCACCGGCCCACCACCACCACCACCTCGTCCTCCTCCCACCGCGGGGGGCCGGGGCAGCGAACGGCCACGGGCCGCCGCCGCCGCAAGGCTCGGCACTCCGGGTGCCGAGCAGACTGGCCGTAGGCAATCTCTCACACAGCCCCTCCCAGCAACCTGTCGGCAGCCTGGCGGTGGCCGGGAGTCGGTCCCTATCGCCAGCATCAACGCGCTGCATCAGCGATGCCAACCACCTCGCCCAGTCTCTTCAGCACACTCAAGATCAGTCGGCTCCTCTGCCAGACAGGTCCCCTTGAACACAGCCTGCTTGGGATGGCTTCCACCAGGCCCTCCGACCTGCCGATTCCCTTGGGGCGCCCCTCCAGGACAATTTCCAGGCTCTCCCTGGTGCTCCACGTGCGAAAGCGAAAGCGAACGCGAACGCGAACGCCGGAGTCGTGCGCGCTCCTCCGGAGTCGTGCGCGCTCCTCCTCGGTGCTCCACACGCGCGGCACGCCGAGGTTCGCGCCTTCCCCCTCCCGGCGAGCTCCGCGAGCTGTCGGCACCCGCTGCGCCGTCCCCCGGTCCGAGCCGGGGGTCCAGGAGGCGGCGCCGCCACTGTCACGGCGCCGCCCGGCTGTGTGCAGGCGGCGTCTCCCTGTGCTGCCGGGTGTGCAGAGAGGGGGCGGGCCTCGTCCTGCCTGCCACGCCGCGCCTCCGCTTTCCAGGCGTGCTCCCCACGGGCCGCGCCCCGAGGGGGAGGGCAGTCTCCCCACTCCCTGCTCGCACACGCGGCACCTCCCGCCACGTGAGGTTGGCGCGAGGGGCGCTCGCAGTCCTCGCGCCAGACGGACTTCGGCATTCCGAATCGTTGCGATCTCTGTCTCTCTCTCTCTCTCTCCCTCTCCCTCCTCCTCTTGCTTCTCCTGTTCCTCCTGCTGCTGCTGCTCCTCCTCCTCTTCCTCCTCCTCCTTCTCTTCATCATCATCCTCCTCCTCCGTCTCTCCCATCTCCTATCTCCGACCTGCCTCCCAAAATCCCTTTTCCCTTCATCCTACGCTCTCTCGTCCCTACTGTTATCCTCCATCCTACCCCCGTTTCCCCCCCAGGGCCGAAGTTGTTCTGCCACTGCCGCCACGCGCACGCACGCACGCACGCACGCACGCACGCACGCACACACACACATGCATACATGCATACATAAACGCACGCAACGATCGGAGGCCGAGCAAGCTCCTTCGCGAACAGCGAGTCGCACACCTTCTCGTAGAGCAGCTTGATGAACTGGTCCTGCAGGGCCTGCCAGGTGGGTGCGTTCAGGCAAGGCGTCTTGTCAAGACGTGGACTGGCGTCAACTCCCTTACAAATAGGCGGCAACCATCGGGACACCCGCCGAAGCAAGAACGAGGAAAGACAAGCTGTCGCACCAGCGAGCTCACACGCCACAAGTATCCGCCACCGTGCCCTGAGGCACTAGTTGAAGCGGCCTCAGGCCCTTCGGTAGGGGGCCACATGCGAACCCTACCCCTACCCCCCTTGGACCTCCTGGGAGGTAGGGGTCGGGTTCGCATGTGGTCTCTATTCGAGTCCCGTCCCCAGTGGTAGAATATCTCGCGGCCTGGACCCAAAATCCCGAACGTTCTGGGGCTTCCCGCGAGCTGGGGCGTGCCAGGGCGTGTCGGTGACCTGCTTGCCCCGGATGAATCCAGACCCGGGCCAGCCAGGCCTTGCAGGATCACGCGAAATGGTGCAGGATCCTGCACCCGCACCCTCGTCCATGCACCCCTGGCTCTGCAGGATGCTGCAAGCTCCGGTGCTCTGGCTGACCCCCGTTGGCACTGACCCCGTCTCTTGAGCCCCCGGCGTGCTCCGCACGACTTCTCCGGAGCCAGGAAGGCCCCTATCCGGGCCAAGAAGGCCCCAAGAAGCCACCGAGGCGGCCCACGAGGGGGCCAGTCGGCTCAAGAGCACCCGAAGAGGCCCGCGATGGCTCACGATGGCCCGAGAGGCCCCCAAAAACGCCCTGGGAGGGCTCCCAGAGGCGCCCCAAGCGGGGCCCGAGGAGCCCAAATCCTGCATTCGGCGGTGGACAAACCTCCCTTTAGTAAACCTCCCCTTTCGTGAAAACTGCCTGGGACCGAAACCGACGCACCTGGACCCGCAAAATGACGGCCGCGACGCCCTCTCGCGAACCGAACACGTCCAATTCGCTAATCGACGTGTCAGGGTAGGAGGTCTATCAACCTCCGATGCGTTGTTTACTGATCTGGAAGGGTTTGGGCGCTGTCGCCGTGTGGGCTTCTCGAGCGGCGAAGACTCGGCCCAAGAGACCCTCGAGGGCGCGCCAGGGCAGCCCGAGAGGGCCCCCAGATGGCCCCCAGGCGGCCCAAGAGGGCCCCAAGGCCCAAAGGAGCCACCAAGACGTCCCGAGGCGGCGTCACAAGAGGGCGCCAGAGGGGGAGGCATGAACCGACACTTGCCGTCGCTCGGACGTCCATTCTCTGTGCGTTGTTCGGTTTTGTGCGTGTTTTTCTCGCTCGATGGTCCTCGCCGAGAAAAAAATGCACACGCCCGAGCGATGCCAAGGATACTGAGGGCCCTGTACCCCAAGATGGCCCCCGAGACCGCCACTATGCCCCCAAGCGTCCCCCAGAAGCTCCAGGCCGCCCCCCAAAGAGGCCCAGATCAGGCTCCAAGAGGCCGCCAGGAGGCCCCCGAGCTGCCCCCAAGATACCCCGAGACCACCTCCCAGAAGTTTCCGAGATGCCTCCCGAGAGATCCCCCCAGACATCCAAGCCGCCGCCTCTGACCTACAACCAGCGCGCGGTGGCGGGATGGACCGAAAGCCAATGGATCCGCTTGGCGTGCCACAGGGGTGCACGGCGTGACGAATGCCTAGCAAGTCTTTGGGTCCTTCCTGCAATCGGTCCAACCCGCCGGCCGTGCTGAGAGCCCAGTCTCCAGTGGCCTCCCTCTCCAAAATGGCTCAGATGGCCTCCAAAACGGCCAAGATGGCCCCCAAAAGAGCCCAAGATGGAATCAACATGTCTCCAAAACGGCCCAAGATGCACCCAATACGGCCCAGGATGGCCTTGAGATGGCCCAATCATATGCCCTCAAGAGGCCTGAAACCCTCAGGAGGCCTCCCAAAGGTCCTCCAGGAAGGCCCCAAGAAGCCAAAATCAAATATGTTCCGTACATGTTTGAAGGACTTTGAGTGGCATGAACTTCGTTTTGGCCTCCCGAGGCCCAAGACAGGCCAAGAGGCCCCCAAGACCGCCCCCAGAGGATCCAGGACGCCTCCAAGATGGCCCCAAGACAGCCCAAGAGGCCCCAAGAAGGCCCCAAGAGGGCCCAAGACGGCCCAAGAGGCCTTCAAGACGCCCAAGATTTTCTCCAAGACGACCCTGAAGCGCGCCAAGAAGACTCCAAAATAATCCAGAGCGGCCACCAAGACGGCGTCCGACGGGCCAGAAACGGCCCAAGACGGCCAAAGAAGCTCCCAAGAAGCCCTCGAAGGTCCTCAAGTTGCCCAAGAAGGCCCCCAAGAGGCTTCCAAGAGGCCCTCTGGAAGCCCAGGAGACCTCAAGAGTGCCCCAAGAAGCTCACAAGAAGCCTCGTTCTCCTTATCATCCCTCGCCTCCTCTGCTTATTCCTCCCCCACGTGTTCCCCAAGGGTTTCCACAACGGCTGGGAAAGCACACAGTCCGATAGCTCGGTCGAACTCTGGCCACAACGTTCGGCCACACAGGCGCTTCCCCAAAAAGGCAGCGGGCGGCGGTGATTATCCATGGGCGTCTTGGAGAAACAAAGTCGCAGCCTCGAACCATCATCGTCAAATAGGGGACGCAAGCAAGCAGGCAAATTACGAAACGCACATGAACACATAGCCACTACCACGTGGGATGGCAATACTTACTGGCTGCGACCCGCCACGCCGTGGCCGAAGGAATGGTGTTCTGCCACAGCGCCGCAAGGGCCCCCATACCACCAGCTGCTTCGCAGGCGTGCCTGTAAGCTTCGCGGGGCCACGCTGCTCGTGGGCGCCCTCCCTTTCTGTGGGTTGGAGGAGGGAGGAGGAGGGAGAAAGAGGGCACAAGGGGGGGGGGGGCGGTGATGAGGAAAAGGAGGGAGGGAGGCAAAGGATGGGGAGGCAGGGGAGGGAGACGGCGAGCCTCCTCTTGGTGCTGCGGCCCCCCGCTCGGCGAAGAAAGAGCCCCCCGCTCGAGACCTCGAGGCACACACCCGGCGGGGCATCCTGGGCCTCCCTGCTGGGAGCGGGGCTCCGCCGGTAGGTGGTGGTGCCGCTCCTTCCCCACCTGAGAGGGAGGAGGCGGGTTCAAAGGAGGCGGAATGATGAACCAAAAAAGGACCCCTAATCCTTTAGGAGGGGGCCTGAGTTAGCAGGGGCAAAAGCAGCAGGGCTAAAGGGGCGCCTCTCTGCAGGTGTACCGAACCAAACCGCCCAGAACTATTATCCATAGTGCAAGCTCAGTGAGGCCACGTCCTCACCGCGTTCTTGGGGGTCAGGGGCCCTCTCCTCCTCGATGACGGGAGGCGGCGGGCCCGGCCCCACGGAGGCCCACAGCCGGGCAGGCTGGCACCCGCCCCGCAGGCTGGCACTTGAGCGCTTCGGTGGCTTCCCGCACCGCGGCCGCGGGTGGCTCCCCGCGGTGCGCCGAAGAAGAGGTGGGGAACGGGGGAGGGGGAGGAGGCCAGAGCAGAGCACAGCCCAGGGGGGCAGCACACTTTTTGTCCGTCGGCGGCGAGGCGGCGGACTCCGCTCCAGCGAGAAGCTAGACAGGGGCACCAACTAGCGAATTGGCCGGCGGGCAGAGAGGGGGACCAATTGTATGAACAGCTCTATGACCACTTATGTGACCCGTTCTATGACCAGGTCTATCCAGTTGTACCAATTAAACAACGAAACGAAGCAACATCAACGAAACAACGAAACGTGTCTTACACATACGTGGTAATCAAACCTGTCAAGTTGGGTATGTTGCTGATGCGAGCTGCTTCAAATGTGTGCATGTCTCACACGACGGCCCAAGCAACGCAAGGCCGAGCGAGAAGCATACAGCAAACCCGAGTGCGAGATGTGGAGAAGTGCGCGCCCTGGCATCCCCGCGGTTTCCCTTTGCGTGGAGAGGTGTTTGGAGCTGGTACAACTGGCACAACTGGGTTGAACTGGTCATAGAACTGGTCCGTTTAAAAAAAAGGGGTCAAACATAGAACTTGTCGATTAAAATGAACCAAACAAAGTGAATATCTGAATTAATTGGTTTTATAATGTCGATCAGTTCTATGCTGGACTCTATCTTTAATGGACCAGTTCTATGACCAGGTCTATCCAGTTGTACCAGTGCCGCAACGAAGCAAATCAACACCAACGAAACAACGAAACGCTTCTTACAAAGACGAGGATATCAAACCTGTGAACGTGGTTATGCTGCTGATACGAGCTGCTTCAAATGTGTGCATGTCTCACACGAAGGCCCAAGCAACGCAAGGCCGAGCGAGAAGCATACAGCAACGCCGAGTGCGAGATGCGGAGAATTGCGCGTACTGGCAGCCGCACGGCTTCCCTTTGCGTGGAGAAGTGTGTGGAGCTGGTACAACTGGTACAACCGGGTAGAACTGGTTATAGAACTGGTCATTGAACTGGTCCGTTTAAGAAATGGGTCAAACATAGAACTTGTCGTTTAAAATGAGTAGTTCTAGTTCTTTTGAGAATGTCGACCAGTTCTATGCCGGACCCTATCTTTAATGGACCAGTTCTATGACCAAGTCTATGACCAGTTCTATCCAGTTGCACCAGGTCCGTAACGAAGCAAACCAACACCAACGAAACAACGAAACGCTTCTTACCCAAACATGGCGAATTGGCCGGCGGGCAAAGAGAGGGGGGGGAGGGCCGGGAGGAAGAAGGGGGACGCTCAGACATCGAAGAGATCGACGATCCAGGGGGCAACACACGCATCCCGCAAGGGCGGCCCGAGGTGGCCTCGACGTGGCCCCACAGTGCCCTCGTGCACGCCCCAAGAGGCGAAGGAAAAAGGCGGAGGCTGGACTCCCGCCGGTGCAGTAGGGGCCCGACCGCAAGAAGCCCAGCCCTGAGACCCAAGGGCGTCCATTGAGCTTTGGCGTGGGAACGCCACGCGTTCCACAGCAGAACCATCGATACCCCAGGAACCCCGGGGGAACCCTCGAGGCGAGCAGGGTGCTTCTTGGCATGGGCCTCCACCGCCATTGCCGCCCCCTCCTTCGCACGTGCGAAAGCATGTCGCCCCGCCGAGCCTGCAGGCGCCTGCCGAGGTTCCTCTCCGGCTTCTCGGCCGTCTTGATCGCGAGCAGGAAGATGTTGACGAACCACTCCAGGCTGTACTGGTACATGGGCTCCACCTTCCCGGCGCCAGCGGCGGAGCGCCGCCAGCTCCCGGTGGCTGGAGGTCAGCGCTCCCTCTTCTTGACCGACGTCGCGATCTTGTCCGATCGTCGACCCCTCCTCCTCCTCCTCCTCCACCACCCCCTCCTGCTCCTCCTCCTCCTCCTCCTCCTCCTCCTCCTCCTCCACCACCCCCTCCTGCTCCTCCTCCTGCTCCTCCTCCTCTTCCTCCTCCTCCGGGAGCGCGGCGGCTGAGCGTCGTTATGGCTCGGTGCCCTGCTTCATTAAGCGCTCCACTGTGGCTGCAGCACGGGCCCCCCCCCCTCGAGACCGCCTCGCAGGCTCGTGGAACAGACCCAGTGGCCTCTTGAAGCAGTCCTTCTGGGGCGACACAGTACGTCTTACCAGTGAAATGAAGACTTGGGAGGCAACTGCTGGGAGGTCTTCGTCGGAAGGGCTGAGGAAGATTGAGCCCCACTGGGGAGCTGTTACGCCAGAGTGGGCCTCGGATTGAGCGGGATTCGGCCAGCTTAAGCGGGGTTCAATGCGGTATTAAGCTGGATTAAGCGAGTTCAAGCCGGATTGAACCGGATTTCGGACCAGGGCAAAATCTGAATTTGCCCTCCCAGGAGTTGCATCCGAAAAGGAGAGTGCTTGGGGAACTGCCCCCCGCACCGTTGGAGGCACAAAAACCCACCCATACGGTCGGATCCAGTACAGAAGAGCATCCCTCAAGAACATGAGACCCTGGGCCGGCCAATCCGAGGAACACTCGGGGGTACCCAACAACAGGATGCACAAGAACGCTGTAAAGACACGAAGAGAAAACATTAGAGCAATCTCCCCGAAGCCGAGGTCGACCTTATACGCCCCCCCACGATCACGGACCGCCACAAACAGCCACGAGCTGCAACGATCAGCCACACGCAGCCACAAACACCTACGGACAGCCACGAACGGCCAGGAACACCCACGTGTAGCCACGACCCCCAGGAACAGCCACGAACAACCACGCACACGAACACGCGAACAGCCGCGAACATAAAAGAACAGATACGAACAGCCACGCAAAGACAAAAACAGCCAAGAGTAAGTTCGGAGGTTCACGAAGTGACGCGAAGCACGCGCCAAAAAAATGTGCGCCGAAACGGCGTGAGCTTGAGAGTGTGTGTGTGAGAGAGAGAGTGTGTGAATGTGAGTTTGAGTGTGTGTGTGTGTGCGTGGTGTGCGTGGTGTGCGTATGTGCGTGCGTGCGCGTGTGAGTGCGCGTGTGCGTGTGCGCGTGCGTGTGCGTGTGCGTGTGCTGTGTGCTGCGTGCTGTGTGCTGTGTGCTGTATGCCGTGTGCCGTGTGCTGTGTGATGTGTGCTGTGTGCTGTGTGCTGTGTGCTGTGTGCTGTGTGTGTGTGTGTGTGTTTGTATCCCGTTCACTCGAGCGCGCGCGCGCGGCGCGCCGCCTTGGCGAGATCCGCGATCACGAAGAACATGGCGCTGGCCTCGGGTGGCTCCGCAGCCAGCCCGCCAGAGGGGGCCGGCCGGATGGCGGCCTGCTGGCAGCGGGGAGGCCAGCTGACCCAGGGCCGCTGGACCCATTCCTGGGCACCGGCCCTTCCTCATGATGCATCGGTCACGTGGGAGACGTGCGCGTGCTCTAAACGACGCCTGGGGAAGGGGAACGCAGGAGAGCAGAGGGAGGAGGAGGAAGAGGAGGAGGAGGAGAATGAGGACGAGGACATGGACGATGAGGAGGAGGAGGAGGAGGAGGAGGTGGAGGAGGAGGAGGAGGAGAGACTTCTTTTGCCAAAGCGGCCACTCGCGCTCCATCGCGCGCCCTCCGCCCCCCGCGGCGCCACGCCTCGCTGCCGGCTCGTCTGGAGGCCCCAGGCACGCGGAGGTTGTTTTTATGACCGTCCAGGGGCCCAACGAAGGCTCCCCGAGACGGACCATTGTCTTGGACGCCCGAAATGGGTACGGAAAAAATGGGTACGATGCCCAACACCAAATGTGGTCCCAAACCAACAGCGGCCGCTGTTGGGCAGGCGGCCTTCTGTCTCTCAAATGGACACAGGCCGCGGCGGCGCGGACAGCGAGTCCTGCTCAAAATGAACAGGACCTGCTGTTGGGCATCGTACCCATTCTTGCCGTACCCAGTTCGTTCGTGTCGAGTTGTCAGACACCTTCCACATTGGCTTTTTTCACGGCGCGGCGATGTCTGGGGAGGTGGCTGCCCTCAGACACGACCGACCGACGACAAAGCCCCGAAGAAGAGCACCTGTCCAGGCAAGGCCAGGCCAACACGGCATGCATCGGCGGCGAGCGAAAATGGGGACAGTGTCAACAGGGCAGCCCCCAAGAAGCCCTCTCGCCTTCCAGAAGGGATGAAAACACATACATTCTCAGGACGCGACCAATCCGAGACAGCCACCTGACTTCTAGAAGGCTGGAAAGCTGCCCCCCTCCCCCATCCTCCCGCTGCCCTTCCTCCTCGTGCCCCCCTCCGCCCCTCTCGCGAGAGGGGAGAGGCCCGCTGCACTCGACTTCAGAACGGCAGGCAGGCATCGAGGCGCGCGGCGAAAAGGAAGGCTGAGAGCCGCAATCCGCGCAGCTCCGCAAGCCCGGCCGTTCACGGATGAGCTAACACTCGCGCGCGAGGGCGCCACAAACGCACCCGCCGATCCATGATACCTGTGTTCGTGTATATCTTATTTTATATATATATAAGAGAGAGAGAGAGAGAGAGAGAGAGAGACCAACAAAACATGATGGAGAAACAAAGGGGGAGAGAGAGAGAGAGAGACAGAGAAATGGTAGAAGGCGCGCCAATCGACATATGGGCAGGCCTCCACTGTACAAGCACCGTCAGAATTGCCACGGCAGCTTGGAAGACTTTGACCACGGACGATCACACTCTCTCGCTCACTGGGGAAAGTGCCCCCGCCCTCCCAAGCTGAAGCAAGCGCAGCACATTCGAAGATGCCGTTCAGCGAACGCGCCTCTCAAGTTTGAAATGGCTGTTCGTCGATGGCCTTTCGACCAAAGACCACCCATCGGTGTCCTGCTAAGTGCGAACTTGGCCGCATCTGCTCCCGAACACACAAAGCCTCCCACGCGCGCGCAGGCTCGGCGACGACGCGCCTGCACCCTCGGCGACGACACGCGGTGGTGACGCCTGCGCCCTTCGCTCCTCGCACCCGGCGGGTCGCGCGGACTGCGACGGCCACCTCGTTGCCCACCCCGCGGTGCGTGGCGCGCGAGGCGCCAGGGCCTCCCGTGGCAGCTGGAGACATCTGAGAGGACGAGGGTCACGACGGCGACAACGACCACGAGACGACGACGGACGGACGATGACCACCACAGTGGACGACGACGACCACGACGACAAAAGACGACGCCCACCACGACGGACGAAAACCACCGCGACGACGACGACGTCGACAACGAATAGGATGACGACCACCACGACGATAACGATGGCCGCCACCATGACGGAGGACGACCACGGATACGTCGACGACGACGCCGAAGGACGACTACCACCGCGACGACGACGACGAGGACGACGCCAACGGCGACGACGACGACAGGGAGAACGAAGTGAGACCCCCGATGTTTGGAAATGTTCCTGACCCTTGCTGGCGCCACGGAAGCCTCTGGGAGACCTCCAGGCGGGAGCACGACGACGACGATGCGGGGCGACGCCCACCGCACACCGTGGCGGCGACCACGAGCGGCCACGGCGGGGAACAGGCCCTGGAGCCCGTGGGCATTCTCCCAAGGACCACTTCTGCCGATGATCTTCAGGACGCGTGTTAACGCCAACTTGTACTCCTCTACCGAAGCCCTTCACAACGACGCAGACAACGTAACCACACGAAGCTGATGAGGAAGCCTCTCTGGAGTTATCATCAACACAGGACTGTCATAAATAAGTTTTTTACAGTGGGCGGTCATCGCCGAACGGTTGATATATTTAGCACCACGACAACTCAAACAAACAACGTCTGCGACCTGTTAACTAATCTACGATTGCCAGACAAGTTCCTAACGATTTCCGCTTGGACCTCGGCGCGTATCCTCCGACGGCGACTCCCGTCCGAGGAGGAGGAGGAGGAGGAGGAGGAGCAGGAGGATGAT